CCCCCCCCCCCCCCCCCTGAAGAAGGAAGAACCGGAGCGAGCTTAACGGTCGGCCGAGTGACTTCACGGGTTGCGGTCTTAACAAGGGCGGATCGAGCGCAACCGTCCTGTCCGTAGTTTAGCTTGACGATTCGGGCAAGAGGGTATTAACCACGCGGACTATCGGGCTCAATCACCCACACGAGATCGCCTGTTTTAAGAGTGAAGTCAGAATGAGTGTGCCGCTTCACACGCTTATTCAGCGAGGGAACATATTCTCGAAACCAACGAGACCAAATCGCGTTAGCATATGACTGCGCCCGCACGTACCTTTTCTTGTGATCGAAGTGCTCCCCGGGTAAAAGCGAAGGAAAGCTTGTGGCATGTTGTCCAAGCAAAAAATGGTTTGGGGTTAACGCTTTTAACTCACGTGAATCAGTACTAACGGGAGTGATTGGCCTCGAATTCAAAGCCTGCTCAACTAAGCAGAGTGTTGTTCCTAACACCTCTTCAGTGACTCGCCTACTGCCTAGTATATCGTACAGCACGCGCTTCACGCTTCGGACGAGGCGTTCCCAGGAGCCGCCATGATGGGGTGCGCCTGGCGGGTTGAATTTCCAAGTAACACCTTTGTGTGCAAAAATGATCGGAGCCATGCCATTCCAGCTCTTGATGCAGGCAAGTAATTGCTTTTCCGCACCAACGAAGTTCGTGCCGTTATCCGACCAGATTGTGCTTGGCGTACCACGACGCGCAATGAACCGTTCGATGCCCATGACACAAGAACTGGTGTCCAGAGATAGTACAATCTCAAGGTGTACAGCCCTGGTGGTGAGGCAAGTAAAAAGAAATGCCCATCTTTTTTCAGTGCTTCTGCAAACCGGAACGTAAAGCGGTCCAAAGTAATCAACACCCGTATGATTGAAGGGTGGTTGCTTATATCCGAGACGTTCGACAGGTAAATCGGACATAATAGGCTGGATGGTACTTGCTTTGCGTTTACGGCATGTTACACATTGATTTTCGATAGACCGAAGTAGTCGAAGCAACCCAAGTACTGCATATTTCATATTTAAAACTGAGCGCATGTAATCTAATCCTTGATGAAAATGCTTATGGTGGAGGCTGCAAGCTAACAAACGAACTATGGTATGTCGGGCGTCGAGTATTATTGGGTGTTAAGTATCAAACTCGGTATTCACTAAGCGCACAATCTGTCCGGTGGAACGAATGATACCAGCGGGACCGATAAATGGAGAGTATGTGGCAATTTTACTACTATTCTTAATAGGTTTGCCAGCGGTGAGTGTTTTTAACTCAACGGGGAAGGATTCCATCTGAGCAAGATGAATCAGTTTGCTTTCTGCAATATCAAGTTCAGTGGGGTCGGTGATTCGTAAGTCCTTAGCACGAAAATGCTTATGTGAAGGCAACATCCTCAACATAAAAGCGACTACTCGTTTATATCTTGTAAAGGAACTCAACCTTTCCCAATTGAACCCGTGTTCGGGATGTTTGATGGATGTGACATCGGTGACGAAGGAAGATGATGTATCCAAGCATTTATCAACATCACAAGAAGGACCCTTCAAACCAATTTTATTGATTACACGTTCGTCGGGTATAAACGGCCAATCAGTAGTCCTGAGAATGCTCGGACCAATAACCCAGCTGCTATCCTTGAGGGCTTCCGAAGAAATCCCCCGCGTACCGGTATCAGCTGGATTACCGCCGCTCAGAACATGGTGCCACTCATCAATAGTGGTCGATTCGAGGATTTCGCCGACACGATTAGCGACGAATACAGGTAATTTTTCAGTCGAAATTAGCCACTGCAAAACTGTTGTACTATCTGTCCACATGTAGACTTGATTAATAGAGACGGTAAGGGCGGCCAGTATATCATCTTTTAGTCGTGTGGCGAGCAGAGCAGCTTGAAGCTCTAGCTTCGATATAGATAGCGCTTTCATGGGCGCAACGCGAGCTTTACCAAAGATGAAGGATATTTGAGTTTTGTGCGAGCTCGAGAGTCGCGCACGCAAAAATCCAACCGCACAGAAAACGTCCTGTGAGCTATCACCGAACATGTGGAGCTCAATTTGATCAACAGGCTCTGTGAAGTAACAACGGGGAATAGTCAATTGCCCTAAGAGAGAGAGACCGGAGTGCCACTCGAGAAACTTATCTCTTATGTCTTCTGGCAATTCGTCGTCCCAACTTTGACCACTGATTTTCCAAATATCTTTAAGTAAAAGACGGGCCCTAACTGTGTATGGAGCTACTAACCCAACAGGGTCAAACACAGAAGAGACGAAACTCAAGACGGTTCGTTGAGTTATTGCTTTATCGAGAGGACGATCCACGCCTCTGCTAACAACCAATGTGTCTTTCACATGGTTTCACTTAAGACCTACGACGTGTGATGATTGTTCGGCACCGTTACATATTTCGTTGATGGGTGAAGACGACGTTTCTGATTCCTCGGGGTTCATTGCTGAAGTGATTTCATCAGCATTACTGACAAATTTAGTCAGTTTAAATCCTCCCAATTTTAGTAAGGAAACCCAATCGCGACTAATTTTAATTGCATGGGTAACGTTCTCGAATGAATCCAAGTAATCGTCCATGTAAAACTTTTCATTTACGACTGATGCGGCCTCAGTGTATGTGGACATATTATCAATTGCTGTTTTTCGCAACGCGAAATTGGCGCACGTAGGCGAATCCCGTGCGCCGAATATAGGGCGAGTGTACTGATGAACTACCACATCGGAAGTGTTATCCTCCCGCCACAAAAAACGGAGAGAAGTTTGATCGCGGGCAAGGACTCCTACCTGGAGGAACATACCCTCTATATCCGCGGAGACGGCGTACTTGTGTTGACGGAATCGCAAAAGTACAAAAATTAAATTTTGCAGTAGGTCCGGACCCACCAATAAGGACTTATTTAAGGATGTGCCGTGAAACTTAGAAGCCCCATTAAGGACTCGGCGCACCTTACTCGGCTTATTCGGATTTACGACGGGATGGTGCGGGAGATACCACTCGCGATCGGAACGCTTACGTGGATCATGCGGTTCGACGGTAACGACATAGCCTTTCCTAATGTCCTCTCTAATTGTTTCTGCGTATCTTTCGCGCAGCTCAGGGTCTTCACTTAACCTTCTCTCCAATGTTTTAAATTGGGCGAGTGACGAGTAATAATTGTTTGGTAGACTGACA